GTGTGTGTGTGTGTGTCTTTCTTCAGACGACGCGGATAGAGTTTGACCTGCCGGAGTACTGCGTGCGACGGCGATACCAGGACTTTGACTGGCTGAGGACCAAGTTGGAGGACAGCCAGCCGACCCACCTCATCCCGGTAGGTCTAACGAGCCACGACACAAACCTACGTCCCATCCTGCTTTCTTTTATTTTAAAAAAGGCTTAATTTACACTCTACTCTGCTTCTTCCTCTTCCTCTCTATCTCTCTTCGTCTCCAGCCGTTGCCAGAGAAGTTCGTGATGAAGGGCGTGGTCGATCGCTTTTCGGAGGAGTTTGTGGAGACCAGGATGAAAGCTCTGGACAAGTTCCTGAAGCGAGTTGCCGACCACCCCGTCCTGTCCTTCAACCCACATCTAAACGCTTTCCTTTCTGCCAAGGTAAGACAACCCAGCAGTGGGAAGTTCAGGGACATTTTTGTCCTTTTATTAGAATTAATGTCCTCATTTCTCACCATGGCCAACACACGGACAAATCCAGGCTCGCTCTCTCTCTGTCTGAGGATTATAAACTGTGGTTGACAGCGGATGCTTTTCATGTCACATGCTTGCATGCAATCCATTTCATGCATTTCAAGCAAACAGAAAACGGTGCTCTTTAGCAGCTCTTTCAGTAAACTACACTACTACAAAATGCAGGGCTTTTGCTTCCTTACTCGTGTGTGTGTTTTCTCCAGCTGCCATCAGTCACAAATTTTGTCTCTAAGTATCCTAGACCCAGGACAAGACTTTATTGATCCCTGTGGGGAAATGAGGTTGTTGCAGCAGTAAAATAATCAGACTCAGAAGGAAGTTAAAGAAAGAAAGTAGGGCATAAGCATAATAGAACAGTATCAAATCTCAAAACCGTGTGTTGTGTGATGAAACACTACAGGTAATAAAACAACAGAAGTAGCTGAGGGCAGGTGACACTTTCAGCACCTTAGGTGGAAGAGAAGAATACATTTTTCAGTGGATTAGATTATTACTTAGTATGGAATATTTAACCATATAAACAAGGTCATTTCTCAACACCATGTGCCCGTTGTCACTGTGTGTCTCCAGGACCTGAACAAGCGTCAGGGTCTGGCCCTGCTGACCAAGGTGGGCGAGTCCGTGAAGCACGTGGCCGGAGGCTACAAGCTTCGGGCGCGGCCGGCGGAGTTCTGCGCCATGGGAGAATACCTGGACACCTTCACCCAGAAACTGGGAACCATCGACCGCATCGCTCAGAGGATCCTCAAAGAGCAGTCGGGTATTAGACTGGAGTTATAAAGTCATGTTATAGAGGACCCAGTGGGCTCGCTAATGGTTATAAACCAATGTATTGATTTCTTGTAATTGGACAAGAAAGAGAGGCTTAAAATACTTAACAAATGAGAAAATGATTACATTGAAAATGGTATTAAAGGGAATTCAGTTTGAGCTGAGGCCCTTTACTTCCAAAAATGGCACCAGGAAGCAACATTTTGTGGTGTGTGTGCTGGTTGCAACACAGCCTCAAGTAGTAGTCCTCATACTCTACTTCCTCTCTCAGTAGACCTGCTTACTGGAATCTATCTTCATGTGCTTCAGTGTGCTTGTGGTTAGCTTATGTCATGAAATGGTTCAGTCTTTGGCTGGATTTATCTGCCGTATTGACCCACTCAGTGCTGTTGTGTTTGGTTTGGAGAGAAACCCACAGACCTTTGGGCCTTGAAGGGTGCATGGTTGATAAGCACAGGCCGCGCTCATGCATGACTAGTGATCCTGTAAATACCTGCCGATCTGCTGTGTGAAATGCTAGTTGTCACCATCTGTTCTGGGCTTTAGACCGTCTGCGGTCTTTGGCCTCAAAAAATCTGCAGCGTAAACCAAAGGTGCTTGTTTCCATATTGGAGGAGATACGATGAACATTCAGAGAACTGTAGATCATGAAGGCCAATGAGCTGACAGAGAATGTAAAAAAGCGAATGCCATGCATGCTTGACTTAGCAGCCTGGGGTTGAGCCTTCACCCTCTCTCGTGTGTAATTTACAAATATAGATTTTGTAGTTGAATATGGCGATCCCTCGGTATCGCCTGTCTTGTGTAGTTCCAGAGTATTAACAGCTCAAACTTAAAATCTAGATACAAAATATCCACCGCTCATTAAGAAGAAGTATGAAAAATACCACAATTATCTGTCTAACCCCCCCTTTTTTTTTTCCTTTCTCCCCCACTAGAGTACCTGACAGAGCTGCGTGAGTATGGCACTGTATACTCCAACTGGGCAGCGTCTGAGGATGAGCTGCAGCGCCCCCTGGAGGGCGTGGCCGGCTGTGTGACGACGTGCTGCGGAGCGCTTGATGAGCAGAGTGAGAACATGAGCCAGGACTTCCTGCCTGTACTTCGAGAGTACATCCTCTACATAGAGTCCATGAAGGTGAGAGGGACATTATGTGTTGGTTTGATGTTCTAAGAAAGCTGTAAAGTTAGATAGTTAGTTAGTTAAAGCTACAGTGAAGCCTGTCCACCTTGTTGTCAGTTGCGGTACTGTAACAAAACAAAATCGGCCCAATAAGCATTACTATTTACCATTATTAATTAATTAAATCATGAAAAGATCCTTCATCTTGCCACACACATAAATCCATACATGTACCTACTAATTTACATTATGAATTACATACTGACCATCATACAGTATAAAGTTTTGTTGTTAGTATACAAATAAACAACACGTTACCACCTTATACTAACAGGAACTGATACAATAGGTGCAACATTGGAAGTCACATTATTTTTGGTTTGATCTTTCTTTAGCTGTTTTAACCACCTACAGTTTGTGGCTGTGGCCAGCAGCTCCTCATTTCCTTTTGTGCATTGCATTTTGGGAGATTTGTGTGCATCAACAGCACACACAGAAATCGTGCGAATTTAGTATGCACAGTGTCAGGATTGAGTATACTTAATTTTCTCACTTCTCTGGTGTGAAAATGCTACATACTAAAAAATAAACTGCTTAGAATTAGTGTATAGTTTGTATGGTAGTCTGGGACCCAGCTACACACTTGCTCTCTTTTAGCTGAGTCACCTTTGACCCCGAGAAGAGGAAATGGCGTCGAGATTTTGCATGTGTCATGTCCTGTCCTCACGGAGCTCCTGATTCAGCATGTAATTTCTGTTTAATATTTTTTCCCATGCATGAATGTTACAGTATTCGTTTACGTCACATTAACAGTGCGATACAAAACTGCAGATGTTTTCTGATTAATCGCAGAATGTTTTGAGGAAGCGAGACCAGACCCAGGCGGAGTACGAGGGCCGGCTTGAAGCAGCCATATTGCGCAAGCAGGAGGACAGAACGCCAGTAAGCCTCTTCCTTCCTCTGATCAGAACCTGAAGCTCCTCTCACATGGAGCCTTTCAGATTGCTGTCTACTCTTACCATTTGCAGGAGTGTAGCTCACTTATTTCACTGTCATACTTTCTATCCCTAAATTGTCCCCGATGTAATCATGTGATGTGACATTTGACCTGTGTTTTAACCAGATAATGTGTATCACATTCTAACCCCTAAACCTAAACCCCTGTGGTTGTAACCCTGTAACCTGTAGTCTTGTATTATGTCCCCTGAAGGCCCCTGTAGCTATAGTTCTCTCTGTGTCGCCGTAGATGCCAGTGGAGGTAGAGAAGTGCCAGGACAAAGTGGAGTGTTTCAACGCTGACCTGAAGGCTGACTGGGAGCGTTGGCAGAGCAACAAGAGACAAGACTTCAAACAGCTTCTTACGGGCATGGCCGACAAAAACATCAACCACTATGAAAAGGTACGCCGGCTAATGGCTTAGAAAGCACTGCAGGACTTTAAATCTCTGCAGGAAGATTTAATTGTCCTGTGATCATCCATCTAAGTGTTCTTATACACTGTATCCTGTTAGGATATATTCACATATAGACGCGAATGCTCAGAGGCTCCATCGTGGGCCTTTTTGAGCCCTTTCTGAATACTTTCCAAAGTTCATTACTGCATTCAGACAAACAGTGTGAAATATCAGCCTCACACTTAGCTGCACGGAAATGATTTCACAACGTGCTGTCCCATTCCTCAGGTTGCGTTTGGAGCCCTCACATTACTCTAATTGTGCTTAGAGCAGCTTAGAAGGGAGAGCAGAGATGGGCCATAGCACAGATATCAACGGCTATTTTTCTGAGCCAACAAAATTATGACAAAGTAGATGCTGGTTAGGTAAAGTGTCAGTGGAGAAGATGGTGATTGTTACAAGTCACTATCATTAGAAAAATGTTGATACTGGTCCCATTACAATAACTGAGACACCAAAATTCAACTTTTTTTTAAACATGTTTTCATTAATTTAACCCAATAAGCCAAATTTCTGAAATGCATTATTGATTTAACATAAAATTAAAAGCATTATTATTCACATCAAGAAATATCTGATCATGGAATATATTTTCAGTACTCAGTACTGCAGAGAGAATTGAGTTTAATACCCTGCCCTAGTCATCAGCAAACAATTAACTTTATTCCAGACCACAGGTATTTATACTTGTTAACACATAGCTTTAAGTCAGTGCTGATAAATAATCTAATGTGTGCAGTAAGCTTTGGGAACCAATAAAGACTTAAGTCTTTGCTCAAAGACACCTTAGGTGGCAATACTTTTCCAATTACTCTCCCAGATGGATCTCACCAGTCAGAGGGTCGAGCTAGCGACCTTGAAACGCAAAGTAAGTGACAGAGCGAGGCAACAGAAAGTTGGCCTCTCTTCATTACTGGCAATAGTGAGAACAAAAATCAGGTTTATTGCCAAGTAAGATTTCACATACAAGGAATTTGCCTGTTTTTTGGTGCATAGCAATAAAAATAGTAAGAGGAAATAAGAAATTTAAAAAAGTACTGCAAACGTCAAGAAACGGAAATATAAAATAGAAACACTTATAATAAAAAATATTTAAAAAACTATAAATAATATGTACAATGTATAAAAATGAATGTTTGTGCAGGAATGAGCGAAACCAGATTCATACTGTATTTTCATCAGTCTTCTCCAGATTATCGCTTTAAAAATATTTCTCTTGCATCCCTCTATCTCCCTTTTTCTCTTTCACCTCATTTTCCCCCCCTCCGTCGATCGTCTTCATCCATCTCCACCGTCTGCAGTGCCAGGCAGCGTGGGAGTCGCTCATAACTCTCCTCCAGGACAAACAGACTGAGGATAAAACGAGTGAGACGAACTGAAACACCTCCTCATGTCTCCGTCCTCCCCCCCTCTTTCTCTGTATGCCACACTCTCTCATGCCAAGGAAAAGGACCAACCGGGGGCAGCAGATTTGAACTGCCGGACTCTGCCCCTGTTCTCCTGTGAGACGATTGTACTGAGGGGGAGTCGTCTCGCTCAGAGATCTGACCAGCGAAGGAGGTAACGAATGGTGTGTTCAAGGACAGCGGGTGAAGAGGAGAGGCCTACTATGTACAGACATTTTGCTTTTGTTTTTGTTCTTTTGTTGTCGTTCTTATTGACTTTTTTTTACTTCATATTTCCAATTAACAGTGAGTTGCCAATGCTGCTTCTGTTTATTTAACCACAGTCTCAGAGAGTGTTCAGTCTGTTCTCTCCATGTTCATGTTGAGCCAAGTGGAAGTGAAGGATGAGTCTTTAGTATTGCAGAAAACCAATAAGATAATAATATTTTTGCGTGGGCGTATGAAGTATGAAGCATTCAGAGCATCCCCAAGATCTTTTCTTCTGTGTCCCATTGTAAAAACCTCTATAAATGGAACACTAATAATTAAATCCTCTTTTTTATCTCTTAAGGGCATCATATTGGCTGTAAATTTAAAGGACCGTACCCGTCATTTTTGCATGTTTCAGCCCCATAACTTCTTATACTTGCCATTACTGTTAATCATTTCCCAAAAGTTCCTGAACTTTAGAGTTTTCCTATTTCCCCTGCAACCGCTGTTGTGATAAAAAAAAAATCACCTTGCAGAGACTTTGCAATCAAAGTAAAATATGGATGGAGAAAGAGCAGGTGTAGCAACAGAGCTCAGTCAAAGCCTGTAATCATTCTTTAAAAGGGAAACTTTGTGTTTTTGATCCTTACAGATAAATAGAACTGAAGCAAAGCTGCATTTAACAGTGACGACACAAGCGTTGCTGTCTTAGTTTAAGGTTGAGATTTATCAGGGAAGTGGCTTTTGTTGGAGGTGATTTTGTGTTTTTACACCACGAAGCTAAGCACAGATCCACTCAGCAGGTTTGGTTATACGGTTGTGTTTTGAGTGCAGTGTGGCAGCACCACCCGGTGGTTAAACTGCTCATAGTTTTCATTCTTTTAAAACTGGTGGTTTAACAGTGTGTTTGTTTCTCTTGATATCACATTTTTTCTTCTTTATTTAATTTTTTTTACCACTGCCCTTTTTACATGCTGTAGGGATGTCATGTCTCTTCTTCAAGCTTTAACTCAGTAGAGGATGCTGAAGGGCATACCAGGCGGGTTTATTCAATGAAAAGCACACAGTTGGAATTGAAGGTGAAGACGCACTGTAATTTATTCTCTTTAAACAAATGACAACAATCAGGTGTCAGCTTTTTAGTCAAGTTAGTTTAGTTTTTCCTCAGTGACACTCATTTATAGAAGCTTTCTTAAAAAAACAAACGACATTGGGAATGTGGCATTATCACACCCCATTAACAACATTTGTGTCTTGTTTTAAGAAGAGTAAGTCTCGAAAAGGCTGGCTCTGACCTGAAATAAGTTAAACATCTTGTTGCCGCTGGTCAGCAGAGGAGCAAAGAACATTGAAGCTTCTGGGAAATCTCTGCTGTGCCATGTAAACACCTGAGGAGTTGGATAAAAGCGTTTCGTGAACACTCTTCAGGTCAGAGCCAAACATTGCAAAAACGACCTTCTGGAGTGAGACACCCTTTACTTTAAAAGCTAAAGTCACTTGTTTTAAGTAAACAATTTGGTATGAGACTAAATGACTCAGTAAGGTGGAAATGATTTGCCGTTTAGTTCTGGTGAACCCTCTAACAGAGCAGTTTGACGACATGACCTCGTCTGCTCAGCTGTGACTCATGGGAAACTTTTTAAGAAGATGTAGTAGCACTGCAGCACATATAACTAATAGCGTTTTTTGCGCCACGGTTGGTTCCTCTTTTTTGGTCTTTTTTTGTTTGTTTTTGGCTCAAAATGTTGCTGATGTGGCCTTACCTTAAAAGGAAATTGAATGTTCTGTTATACATCAATGAATAATCTTTGCTGTACCCACTTTATTGACTGATTTTCTATTCCCAAAATGGCTTACAACCCCGGAGGATGGATGCAGCTTTTTGAGAGTTTATCGTTAAATATCCTGGCTAATTTGAATGTAATTTCTGTGATTTTTATTCCCTCCATCCTCAGTCGTACTTCTAGCTCATTACACTCAGCATAAAGTAGCGAAAACTCAACCAGTGATGACCAGGGCAGACATTTCAACTTTGGTTTATTTGTGGCATGTTCCCAATGTTGCAGCCTCATAAACATTTTCCAACAAATGTAATGATAGTTTCTTTAGCATAATTACATTTATTGACAGGATTTTTCAGAAATAAGGTGCTGATTTGACTATTTCAGGTCTGAGTTCTAAGAGGCTTTGTTGAAAACAGAAATATCTCCATTGTTTTAGTGGTTTTTTTGATGTCCTTTAGTCCAATTGTCTTTGAATGGCCCTCACACTGCTGTCACATTACTGAGCCTGTCGTCAGTGTAGCCAAATGTGAGTGCTGTAAGACAGCGATGAGAGGAAGTGACTGCTTGCAGGCTGGTTTCAGTACTTTTGTCAGTTCTTTTTATTTTTATTCGTCTTTCTTGTTCTTCTCTCGAGCTTTAAAAACATGAAGCAGCTACTGTTTCTTCTTATTACCAGAAGTAAAAGAGGTGACAAGTGAAGAAAATTTAATTTTTTTTATTTAGCCATTTTTAATGCACCCAGCAACATGGAGAGAAGGTAGAGGCTACAGTAGGTAGTACTACGGATGCACTGATGCTGAATTACTGTATTTGTACCAAAATCAAATCCACCATGAAGAGACAGAGTCAGAGGAGTTTAGAAATCAAAACAAACCTTATGTATTGTTTGTTTTATCACATATACTTTAGAAGAAGACCCCTATTCTTTTAATCCCCAAATTACTGCTTTAAAGTACAGTTCCATTATGATTAGGTAACTTTCCACATTTTCCATCCTTACGTTTATTGCCACAACTTATATGAACATACTCCACAATTAAAGATATTTTAAAAACGGTTTATTCCAACCTCACAGGCTGAGTCACTATTGTTCAAGTAGCAACAGCAGGAATTCAGGAAAGTTTAAAGCTACCCTGTAGAGTTTTTGACCACTAGTAGCAGTAAAGAGCAGTGTTTTTGTGAGGGCGTCCCCAGTTTGTTTATATCTTAAGGATGAGTTAGAAAAACTGAATGTGAACATCAATTTGTTAGTTTACAAGAACACTCCACAGGGCACCTTTTAAACCAGGTTGTTTTATCAGACTAAAGTTTTACATTCCAAAATCTGTTAAGCATTTCATATCAGCGCATCATCTTGCAAAAATAAACAACCAGTAGCTAATGTTCACTGTAACCCAAGTACATTTTAAAACATTGACTTATAGAAGTAAGGAATAGGAAATGTAGCAAACATGAAAAAAAGTTAAGACATAAAAAGCGACTTCACTTTAAGTTTGGTTTTATTTTTCTGTATCAGATCAGTACTTATCTGTTTGTTTACAGCCGGGCACTGTGAATCGTGGCAGTGATAAAACAAAAAAATAATAATAAAACAGGCATCGATGCATCTGTAGACTTTCCTGCTATTTGATGTAAATAAAGTAATTACCGATCTGAGCATGCACAAGGGATCATTCAGACTTTTTGTTCTAATGGCAATATACTGTATATTCAATATACCCCAATGTACAGTTGAATTATGGTACAGCTAAGTCTATTTTTGTATAAAAGAAGCAGGAGATCATTTTTGGGTTTCCAATGAGTATATGAAGGTTACAATAATATATTTCAGAAGGGATTTTGGAGATTTGTACCAACAATGTAAACCAAAATGAGGAATGAAACGATTTATTTTTTTTTTTTTTTGCCCATTGGAAACCCAACAAGTTCTCTGACTAATTTCTTCTTCTTATTCATAGCCATTGTAAAATCCCCATCTTATACTGTGTACCTCCTGATTTGTTTTTGCACTATAGCTTCACCCCCTGGCAGAAATGTCTGCTGAAAAACTAAAATTGCTTTTTTCTGCAGTTGCCAAAAATAACAATAGTCGAGTTGGTTGAGACATATTTTACGTCTCAGTTTGGAAACTTGGTTTTGTAATGTTAAGAAAGGCATCGTCTGCAAATGGGGACGATGATGGCCGTGACTGTTCAAGCCTGCAAAGAGGGGAAAGTCAGGGGAGATTTTTGTTTTTCTTTAATGTACAAATCAAATGTTTCTAAGCCAAATGTTCCCATCTTTTCCTTTTGTCTTCTTCACGTAGATTCACACTTGAAGAGAAAATCTTATTTGCAACACAGGATAAATCTGATCAATCAAACCTGTATGAAAGGTTAACGACTCATGAACGTGTGAATCTAGCTTCTGTCTTTTTATTTCTGTTCCTCCCCAGTGTGTACTGTTTACGTTCAGAGTTTTTATTGTACATTTGGATGTTAATAACATCTTGTTGTAATTATAAATAAGCTTGTATATTGATGTCGTTTTGATGCAATTTATCTTTACCTCAAATGAGTTTTTTGGATATATTGGACCAATAATAAAAATAACGAATGCAATTGATACTTGTCTACTCAGGTCTGATGTTTTTTCCCCTCTGTAACATTTGATTTGTTTTCACCAGATGTAACTGCCCAAAAAAAAAGCTATTCTTTGATGAAGAAAAACATTGATTAAACTGGAGTGGAATTAAAATGTGATACTAATAATGTCCCAAAATAAATTTTAAATGTAAAATCTTTTATTTACATAAAGTGAATTTTATAATGCATTACATTCAGTTACTTTCATATAAATGAAATCAAAAACTTCAAAACATACCTCAGGAATGTTTATATATAAAAAAACCTAGACTTTTCTACAATTGTTTGTTGTACCCATTACACCAGTGTACCTTAGGTGTAATAATATGTAATAACTCGTGTGTGTGTGTGTGTGTGTGTGTGTTGTGTGTGTGTTGTTGGTGTGTTGTGTTTGGTGTGTGTGTGTGTGTGTGTCAACAAATAAAAGTGCAATAATACACTAATACAATGGAATAAAACTGAAGTAATAATGCATGGCTGCATTTTCTTTCCTTCAGATCCACAATCAGTACCATAAAGCAGAATGACAGGACATACAGTGTCACATTAAAAAAACAATATACATGTCTAAATTTTTGATTTTGAGTCTGAATAGTTTAAAAAATGATGATAATTTAATGCACAGTTTATATGAAAAGAAAAAGCACACAAGTTTAAACAGAAACAACACAAGCTATCAAACCATATATAGTACCTTTCAAATATTGTAGGTTAGTGCTGTTCAAAGTGCACTGCAATCAAATGCATCATTAACTGACAAACATACAAATATTATAAAAAGTAACAGTGTCAAAGAGAAGTAAACAGAAAGCATTATGATATGAAATGCACAGGTGAGTAAACATGTAACGACAATAAAAATATCGCAACACAGAAAAAAATGAAAATCACAAGACCACCAATGTCAAAAACGGTGATTTAAAAAAAAAAAAGTTCCTTTACTTTGTCAGCCTTTCCTGACCTGCAGGTTCAGAAGTCAGCATGTAACATTTGTTGCACTCCAAAAACCATAAAGTGCATCTGTTTCCTTTGTAATCTAATCTAACCAAAAGCAGATGTACTGTAAATTCTGACTTGTGTCAAACTCCATATTTCTGTATCAGTGTAGTCTTGACGTATCAAATGTTGATAATTATAGCTGAAAACTGAATATGAGTCAGTTTAAGTCAGTTAACAACAGGAAACTTGTTTAAATAAGTGAAGTTAGTCATTCTTAGTTCACTCTCCTGGTGGAGCGCACTAGTGTTTAATGTCTGACACATTCAGTGACAAATGTCTTATGTTAAAATCACCCTGCGTGTGTTGCTTCATGGTTTTGAAGCAGTTCAGACAAGTTTCCCTGGCTGATGTCAAAAGTTAGACTGTTTTAAAGTTTTTGTCAAACTCGGTTGTGTAACCATCTCTGGGAAGGTACAATCTGCATAGGCCTCATTAAAATATATCAGATAATTTATGTTATTTGTAATATAAAATGCCCATGTAAATGTAAAACCTGTGGTCTGTTCGTCCTGTAACAGCCAAAGCCTGCAGGAACTCCTCAAATATCTATAGCTTTAACATTATAGGAAGTGAGATTAAAGGCGCTGTTCTCCTTTTGCCCATTTCAAGTCTCAGTTCCTGTCTGGTTCGTACCAACGCTAATTCACTGCTGGTGATGATGTCTGTGCCATCAGTCCCCCTGAATCCTCACGTACTGACGTCTCTGAGGTGACCTATAGCCGATGATACTGGAGGAGGAATAGAGGAAAAGTTCTGATGAGAAGATGTGTGTTTTTCATTCAAAGTTGTACATCATATCAACACTGGTCTAGAGACAATACGTTCTTCACATACCCTTGATGATTTGATCTTAATAGGGTATGGACAACGTTTATTGTTTTTTAATACCTAGATTTTTTAGTAGCATATTTTATGAGCTGTTCTGTAAGTCCCTCTCTACGAAGTTTAAAATAAAAGTATGAGTAAGTTTAATGAGTTAAAAAGGTTTAAAATAGCTGTTTCCAGTCTTTACCCTAAGATATGCTAAGCTAAGCTAATTGACTCAGATATAAGAGTGGTATTAACCTTATTATCTAAATATTGGCAGGAAAGAGCGAGTATGTGTTTTTCCAGAAATGTTGAATGATTTTTTAAAAAAGTACAAATTAAGTCAAAGAAAAACGAAATGGTTAAAGTGTTTACATTGTAAATTAAGTTCTTAAATGTTGATTTTCCCCCTGAATTGCTTTTTAATATAATTTTCATATTTCAAAATTATTCAGAAATACCCAGATACATTTTTTATTGTGGTTAAAAATTAAATACTAGCCTTTAACAAATATTGAGCCAGAGCAATACATTAACTGTTATCAGTGCCAGCCAGGTTATACTGCCCACCCTACCTGATGGGTATCATTCCCAGTACTGTCAAGATGCTGGAGAGTGTGAAGACGAAGCCTGGGAACCAGTCTAGGGTTCTCTGATAGATCTTAGTGAAGGCAGGGAAGTACGCCAGCCCGGCAAACTTCATAGACAACTGCAGGGAGGTGAGAGTGATGCCTGATGGGAAGGAGGGCAGATAGGTGAAAGGAAAGAAGAAAACAAGGGTCAGAGGGGAAACATATTGATACATTTTCTTTTAACATAAGCACATAAACAACACTGATACCACTCTCATGTAAGAGAACTATGAAGTGACCACCGATAGCCTGCTAGCTTTGTTTAAGCTGTACAAATACAGAAGTGTAAAAAAGTCAATTGGCCGTTTTATGTGGGGTCATATGCCTGACTGTGTTAAGGTTTCAGGACCAGTTGCCAGGCAACCAGGGGAAGTTGTCAAAAAGTCAAACTTTTACTTTAAGGTTTTCTCATCCTGTATTCATATATATATTTTAATTTCCTTGTGTGTGTGTGTGTGTGTGTGTGTGTTGACAGGAAAAGGGTCGAGGTTGTTCGTGTGTGTGTGTTTTTGCATTGCACTGACTTCTCAAACAGACGTCAAAGCAAACACAGAAAAAACCCTGACAATGAATAACCCTGCTTCTCTAATCACAGTCTGTGTGTGTGTGAGTAAGAGAGAGAGAGAGAGAGCGCAGGACAGTTACCAGTGGCAGAACAGGCTCTTTATGATGTGTCATCTTTTTTGGTATAAACCAGTCTAACCACAGGTTTCCATTATACACCACTCCCCCGTGTGTCCATACCTGTCTAACAGTAGTGAGGCATTGTGCCCATACACACAAGAAAGGAAGTAAAGACTACAAAGTATGGTAGCCTGATCAAAATCTATGAAAAACTGTGAGAAACTATCTCTTAGGTGCTTAACCTTTCTTATGTTTCTTAGCCTCACACTGGTAGCTTTCTGCTGATTCAGGAGACACAAGCCAACCAAGCCCAAAATGCCTCCTTTCTCCACCAGGCAGTTGCACAAGCTGTTGTTTTGGGATTGGAGATCTTAAAAGCGTTAAGTCATGTCACAGATTCTGCTGTTTGAACAGACAGATATCTTGTTGAATCACTGTTTCCCTACACTTGGATATCTGCTGTACTGTATAGCAGTGCAGCATAAGGTTGCAAATTATTACAAATAAAATCTATGTTTCAATTAACAATTTCTAAAGCATGCAGTGTTTTACATGTTTCCTCGCTAATTATGGTTTCCATTCACACAGAATGATATTCAACTCAACGTTATCACAGTGAAAATCATGTCTGCTTTTGTTGTGGTCAAAGTTACGTTACTATCTGCCAGGTCATTTGTAATAACACAGCTTTCACTCCATCAGTATCAGATCAGTTGGGAGTAAATTTCTGACCGGTCCATGACCTTCGGACTGAAACCTCAACTTTCAGGAAATGTCATGTTGTCATCCCTTTTTCACAACTTCCTCCTGTGCTCACTCTGATCCTGCCCTTCTCTCTGATATTGGACAGATCTGTAATGCCAGTTCCAATATCAACAATGCAACACTTTTAGAATGAAATGATGAAGTCAGGTGTCACGGATCTGTCAGGGTTTTGATTTCCATTGTGAAGGAAAAGGTTGAATGAAACAAATGTTTTTACTTGCTGTAATTCTGATATACTTTATTTTTGCATACAGCACTAATTTTAGATACTTAAAAAGAGGAGTTCACCCAAATTACAAAAGCTGTATTTCCTCAGTTACATCTAGAAGTATCTAGCAGATAATTTTGGTTTTGAGATATACGTCTTCTTCTCTACCTCAATACAATGGAGGTGAACCATTAGTAGCATGTGTCTGGATAACACTTTTAATTGTTTTCCCAGCTCCATTATCACTAATGGTATTATTACCCATCACACACACACACACACACACACACACACACAGTTGTATACTCACCACATGAGGCTGCTGGAACCTGCTGTGAGAGCAGAGATCTGATGGTGGGCATCGGGATGAGACCAAACAGGTTGAGTGAGCGAGCTGCGGAGAAATAAACATTCATTTATTTCCTCTCCCTCACATGCTATTTTCTCTCAGCATCTGTGTCAGGTCTCTAATGGAGCTAGTTTTGCATTATCACACCCACGTCCTCTAAAACAATCAGTCGTTTGAGTTCAGTCACACTGTAACCTGTGATATTACAAAATGTCCATTTTGTTTCCATCTACCACTCTACTGCTTTAAAACCATACAACATTATACCAATTATATGAAGGCTTTTCCATAACCTGTTGTGTACGGCCTGAGTCTGCCAGCTCTTTACTTTAGCAAAGAATGTTTATGAGAAAATGGACTCACAACTATGGTTAATATGAAGCTAGCATGTCTGCACGCTAAGTATGAAGCTAGTGCTAGCAGCCAGCTAGCAAAAGTACTGGAAAAGGGGAAACGGCTAGTAGCTCGGCTCTGTCACTATGAACATGTTGTATGTTTGTTTAATTGGTACAAAAAAAGGTTAAAGACTAAACCAAAACTATTTCTTGGCCGGTCCCAGTACGTTGTTGGCGTCTTCACTAGTCGCTTGGCAACTGGTAGCTTCATACTTAGCATACAGACTGATGACTGACTGATAACTTAGATGTTTGTCATTACAACAAGGCTCCTGGCGAGAAGTAAAAACCTGGACAGCATGACCTTTAACACAGATAACACAAATTCAGTTCCTCATTCTTATTTTTGTGAGCCAACCCTAGACAAACAAACCCCCCATGTTTTTTCTATGTTTGCTGTGCTAGCTACTTGAAACGATGAAAATGAAAATGAAAAGAAAAGCTGGTGCCTGGCTGCTCTTCTGTGAGCCCGGTGAACCACCAGGTCACATGTGATCGACAGCAAGGGACTTTTTGATTCTGCGTCTGTCAGTTAAACCACCAACTACAAAACTACAAAAGAGGCTACGTTGTATTTTGATACACACATCTAGCGTCTCAGAAACAGAAACATGAAACAGAAAATTAATTGCCAACCATTTTGGTTATCAATTGCTTGTTAAAGTCATTTATCCAGCAAATATACTGGTTCTAACTTCTCCAATTTTGGGGGGATTTGTTCTTGGTGTTCTTTTCTCTGTTTCACATCATTGTTAATGTATTAGTCAGACGAAACAACTACTTTGAAGACATCACCTCGGGCCCTAAGAAAGTGTGGTGGGATTTTTCTGATAATTTATAGACTAAACAATTAATCAAAACCTAATCTACAGATTAATTGATTTAAAAAATCATCATTATTTGCAGTTTTATTTTAGGTGTGGACTTTAGGACGACAGAGTAACCTGATTTGAATGCACTTGAAGCTAAGAAGTAAAATGTTTTCAAAAAATAAGTGGGATTATTATTCCAGTATTTAGTCTTGTGATAGAATAGATAGAGTATGTTTGTGTTGTACCCCCTGAAAAAAGGTGGGTATGTGTGGCTTGCAAGGATTTTTTAGGGGGGGGTGATTCAAATTTCTATTAGTCATGATCCATCACAAAAACTGCTCCTCAGTCTTACCGAGGTAGAACATGTAGGTGGCCGTGACGAAGGACATGAAGTAAATTCCTGAGGCAAACGACAGCATGCCGATCAGGATGAGCGTCACGTCGCTGACGCAGCGGCGAAACACAATGACACCGAGGAAGCTGGTGAGGAAAATCATGCATCCTGCTGCGTTCCCATAACCCACCTGGAGGAAGAGAGAGAAAGAGAGGAAGAGGAAGAAAGTGTGACAAAATGAATACACACCATGCTGTACATAATAACACACAATACACATATGAATCTACAGTAAGCCAGCTCCATACATTACAATACCTGAGTGGCAGTCCAGCTGAGTGGCTCTTTCAACACATACACGCCCAGTATTTCCATGGCTCCGCCCACCGCAGAGCCATACAGGATGGCAGCGGCGAACAGGAGGGTCACGTTCACCATGTTTATCCCAGCAGAAGCCTCCACAGGAACGTTACCGGAGGCGTTAGAAATGATGTGGCAGTCCTCCCCTGGGTCTTGGTTGGCTACTTGTTTCACCTTGAATTAAGATGGAGACACATAAATGTTTGTTTTCTGTTCATGTCAAACTTAAGGTTAAGTTTTAGAAATTAGAGGTAGAGTTTAGCCAGATCCACAGTGACAAAAGTGTCATCCATTACGTACAACTTGGCTTGCGTTATCTCTCTGATACAAACAAGGAAATCAGTGAGGTGATTTCTTAGTCCAAAGCACTCAGTCCAAAAATATTTTCAGGGTGGGGCAGGGTTGAGTGTCAACAGTGAAGCAATTCTCAGACTCTGGCTGCCAAAATAAACTTTGAATATGGAATTTCCTTCTGGGATGTGTGTTATTGTTGTGTTCATCCATTTTCAGCCTTGTCATTCTAAATTGTCACTATGATTAGCATTACTGCCACTTACTTTTACCAATGCTTAATAACTTTCATAGGTCAACGTTTTCAGGAATATGCAGAAAATTCTAATTTGCTGTATCTTTTCCAAACAGGGTAGTAACTGTAAAAAAAAATAGTATTAATATTTATGTATATTTAAACAATTATTGCCAGATACCAATATGCTGCACAATCTATGGTGCATCTTTAGCTTACACACACACACACACTGACCTGCAGCAGGAATATGGAGTGTAAGAGGCTGAGCAGGTGCAGCAGCGTGCTCACAATGAGCAGGATGGTCCCATGTTCCAAATTGGAGTTGTACAGCAGGAACAGGTGACCCGACACCAGGCTGCCCACCAGACCTGCTATCCCATACAGCAACTCCACTCTCATCATCACCTGCAAGGACAGCATGTCGTTACAACAAATCTATTTTGACATTTAATAAGGTGTTGGGTGTATAAGGTTTCAGGTGTTATGTAGTTTTGGATGGAATTTTACATAACGGAGGGTAAATAAAGAAATTATAAGAAATCTCCAGATTCTTTACCTAAGAAAAATACTCATGTACAAAATCATTCCATTACGTTAAGTCCTACATTTAAAATCCTGAAGGATATGCAGCTCATACTGTCTCTCCACAAAACATATATGCAAATTTAGTGAATGTTTGTACAGTATGTGCTCTAATATGTGCTCCAATTAAATCACAGTTTGTGTAGTCATCCAGATAGTGAGATTCAAAAGAAGATGTAATATAATAATCCACTGGGCTCATTGTAGAGTTGGACCTGCTAAGAGAACCAACTTACTGAACAAGCATGATACATTTATACATCACATTGTTCATAGAGTTAGACAATGCTTCTGATTTAGCAGCTCATAGTATTTATGACATAATATAATTAGGTTTGTTATTAATAATTAGATTTCCAGCTAATAAAGTCGGTCGACCTTATAATGTAGCCTTACAATAAACAAAGTAGCCTACAATTTTGTTGACCAATAACACTGATAATTACACTTCCACAGCCTTCTACAAGCACTTAATGCTACTCCATCCGAACACACCGACCTTGGACCGGTCAGTCGCCGTGGAGCGCAGCGACGCCAGCGTCATGACGCCGGGCCAGTACGCGCAGAAGCCGCCGGACAGCCCGAAGAGAACCGCCGCGCCGTACATCACCTCCAGCGGGAGGCTGAGGACGACCACCAGGAGCAGGGCGAGCCTGGACAGCAGGTACCCGCTCAGGGGCACCACGATGGGGGCTCTCCTCCAGCCGCGGTCGCCGAACTTGGCCAGCAGCACCGCGGGAAGGATCGGAGTGAGCTGGATGATGAGGTTGTAGACCATGTAGAAGTCCGACATGGCTTTCTGCTCGCTGTCCCCTCTGGAGCTGTGGGTGTCGGTGTAGGTGGCGTTGGCACACCGGTCCCTGACCACCATCTGCAGGGCGGTGTCGAAGAGGGTGCTGCCCAGCTGCTCCAGCACGAGGATCGGCTCAACCTGCCGGAGAGCCGCGAAGGCTGCTTGAGCCCGGAGCGGCGGGACCATGGTTGGAGTTTGAATTCAAAGTTTCAGACTGAATGTGAGGGGGCTGTTTGAGTTACTCTGCTGGACTCCTCTGCCTCAGTCTGTGTGCGTTTGCAAACAACGCAGCGAGGGAGAAAATAAGAAGCTGTCACACCCACTTCCTCCCCCCTCACGTGCGCAGCTGCTTTCTAAAATAGGCGTGAACACGATGAGAGGTGTGCGCGTGTGTCTGTGCGCGTTTGAGGGAGGGAGGGAGAGAGAGAGAGAGAGAGAGATTTGGGAAACCACCCTCTCCTCCAACTCCCAACACTCAGTTCTTTCTACCAAAGAGACTGAAAGCAGAACAAGAACAAACTGAGCTGAACAGAATAATTCAAAATGGAAGGTACAATATCTGAACAGAACTCTTCATCAGACTCTGGCATCTGTGGTATTCAGAGTCAGAGCTTTGATTGTCTCCCCAAACAGAGTTGGACCCGACCCGCCGGGTTCGGGCCCAAAGCTGAGGCCATGGGTCGGGAATAAGATTTATGTTTTATATATTTAATACATATATATATATATATATTTTTTTTTAAGTCTATTTATTGGGCTTTTATTGCCTTTATGATAGTGACAGCTGAAGACAGGCAGGAAAGGGGGGCAGAGAGAAGAGATGAAAGGGCCGCAGGTCGGATTCGAACCCTGGGTACCACTCAATATATTCAATATTTTATTACTAACACATGCAACTGTAGATAATAAAACTGTTTTGATGAATTACTTACATTATTTATAGATTTATTTTTTTAAAGCAGACTTTCGGGTCGGGGTCGGACCAACAATTGGTTCCATGGTTTGGGCTCGCACAGAATTTTTTCAGGCTCAGGTTGGGTCAAGCTTTTTAGGGCCCGATCAAAGCTCTGTTCACAAACACTTTTGTAGTCGTGGTAGCCACTGGTTTCAGTTCATGCTAGAACATTACCATAAACATAATGAACACACTGAAAACAGACCGTCAGGGACTTGGAACCCTGTCAGACACGTAATCCACCTCAGTGCTGCAGAAGGATGCATTCACAAGCACACACACTTCACTACACTAACCACAAGGCACTTTCGTAACAGTTGTCGTTCACAACTGCATTATCACATGATGTGTAAAGCTGACAGTTCTTGTTAGTTAGAACAAACAGAAATGAACCACTCAGAAATCCCACATGTACAGGTTTTGTTTTTAATGAGAAAATAATCATAATATGTATAGTAGGTGTATAACTGTGAGCCTTACATGTGCTATAAAATAACAAAGCAGAGTATGAGCATTACAAGTGGTTAACATAGGAACAGAGGTTATAGTGTATACTGTATAATAGGATTGCTTTATCACACACAGACAGTGTGAGTGCCACACTGAAGCTCGGGCGCTTCTGCAGGCAAAAACAAGCTACCAGCATTTAAAAATGATAAATAAATCATCTCTGCACCATGAATTCAAAACAACAAAAGCATTATAATAATAATAAATCACACAATTATATCTCCTCTGCGTGTGCAGGATGTCTGTAACCATTTCAAAAGCGTGTGTTTAATGAGAACTCAGAACGCGGTGCAGTTTTACAACGTGCTGCTGCAGCTACAGTAAAGAAGGGTGGTAGCCATTTGCTTTTGTTGCTCATGACGCTGGCATCCATTACAAGGGCTCTGTAACCGTTATTCTTCCGGAAAAGATGTCTGTTTGAGCTCACGCTTCCTCTAAAATTTAATATCTCTCACATGGAATCAACATGTCCGTAAAGCGAGTTTAATACTGTCAGACAGCTCAGATCATGTCCCTGACCCGTCACTGTAAGAACCCACTGGCTTTCTCTCGTTTGTCCCTTAACTCGTGCGGCAAAATGCCTCTCCTGTCAGTGACCCCGTTGCAATTGTGGTATCGACACACTTTCTGCTGCACCACAAAACATCTCGTAAAAAGGGACTGGTCCTTTAAATACTCATTTAATATATTATTACATGTGTATTAAATGAAGAACAAGTATGATTCTCTGAAACCAATGTGGGGTTTTTTTGTTTCAGGGGAAACAGACACATCACAGAGGCGCGAGTCCTTGGTTCTCACTTCTGGTTGGTGAAGTTAGTGGCGCCGTGTTTCCTCCGAGAGCATACTGCAAGAGATAATTAAACAGAGTGGGATAATTTGCTAAGAGAATCTTGTCCTGCACTCAGGGTGGGGCCGTCCCAATAAATATAAGAGTCATTAATGTTAAGGGTTAGTAGGTGTCAATTCTTTATATGTTGTGCACGTTTACCTCAGTGTATGTTTATATGTCAGACAGCTGAGGATTGCCTTGAGGAAGGTCAGTGCCTCGCTGAAGGACACTTGGACAGGCCATGTTAACAGATGGGGTGATCAAAACTGGGACCTGTGGTCTACAGGAAAATCTTTCTCACCGGCCATCTCAAAGGCTTCAATAAACAAGCTATAAAAAAAGCCTGAAAAAGTAGAATCAGTCAGCTACTTTTCAGTTAAAGTGGTTCAAAAATACAATTTCCACAGCTCCAGGGATTATTGTCTGATTGTGTTTAACTGGTTTAATTTTGGAAGCTAAACCTTGTTTTGTACCTGGACAACCCACACTCATAGAGGCCTGTTTGTGGTCATTTTTCCGTTCATATAACAAAACAAAATAATCACATTGTGCTGCAAAGCTCACAATATGTTTAGTAAAAAAACAGACAACCCATAAATCAGCCTCTGTATTGTGGCCCCTACTGATAGTCACCTGCCTTCTTTTCCCTGCATGTTGTGTGCTTGTTTCAGGTTAGGAGTGTAATGTCATGCACACAATCGATCTTCTTAAATAGACTTAAGAGCATAAGGCTGACTAAACAACAACATTCTCTTTTGGTATAACAACATCTTATAAAAAGCTTTCTTCAATATTTCTCATCAAACTTGATCTCAGCTAGCAAGGTATAGCAGACACACGGCAGTTGCCCCATTGGAATCTCAACAGACATGTTCATATATCAAATACACAGTCCTACCTCAGTATAATACACGAAACGACTGCTTACATCAGAAAGCACAGGTCAACAAAGCGACGTAAGCCAGCAAAGTTAAAATAAGTGATTTTTTTAGAATATAAAACCCCCGACCCAGCCCTTTAATTAATACACACACTGATGCAAACATGACCCGCAGTTAGCTTCCCTCTTCCCCGTATGTTTAAACTCCTCCTGTTTCGACTTACTGCACTTTATAGACACAAGATCACTGAAGAATAGTGTTTTATAGACAGACTTTCTATCTAATGTGGTTGCGTATTTTCTCTAAGGTCTATTGAATCTGTAGTAATAGAGAATAGGAGAAGGTAAAATACATCATAGATAACGTGCATCCCCACAACTACTGACGGACTAAGGCAAAGTTGAACCTTGATGCTAGTTTTGCAACTCGCTAGAATTCAACAGCTCAAGGACGCTGACCCTCGAGTCGGCACTTAAGATTTAAAGGACCAGTGCGTAGGATTTAGTGGCGTGTAGCGGCGCGGTTGCAGATTGCAACCATTTGAATACAGCTCAGCCTTCCAAGCAGGTAGAAGAAACTACAATGATTGTGGAAATCGCCAAAAAAAGAAAAAAGAAAAAAGAGAAGCCATTCTGGGCTATTGTAGAAACAGTTCAACATGGAACCTATGAATATTACATTTCTCTTCTGCCAACAGATATTCCTAAATGTTACACACTGGACCTTTAATACAGATGCTTGAAAGGATTGCGAAAAGCTCCCACCAACATGTGTGTGTTGTATCTGCACGGTGGCACTGCAGGATGCAGAGGGTGACATTATTACAGGTTCTGAGAGTGATGCTTTGGGTCCCATTTGTTTCAAACATCGCATCCTTCCTGCAGCATCATCACATCCAGGTAAAAATAATTATGCCATTACAGAAATGTCTGAGTGTGTGATTAGGCTTTTTCTTCTTTCTTGAACAGCTTTCAGTCACAAGCTCCTTGATAGTCACTCTGCACACACCTGCTTGTCATCTTTTTCTCCTGTTGGTAATTAAAATTCCATCCACACATTTTCAAGATGATTGGGGTTATTATCAAGCACCCATTGCCAACACTATTATCAGGCAACCTGTCAAAATAAAATCTTTAGATCTCCGACCGTATTTCAATAAAAAAAATTACAGGTAAATGAAAAAAAAATCTTATGAATATTTAAAATCATTCAGCGTCTACCAAGTAGTAAAAACCTTTTATCCCAAACACTTCTGAACAGTGCTCTTAAACCACCACAGACCCTCTCAAAGTGTCTCTTGCATCTCTGACCTTTTCTTCTCCAAACTCACCTCAACACTTCAGATGTCTCTCACATACTCAGTCACTCTACATACTGCTGCCCCTTCAACCCTCAGGTCCAAAAACCTCTTTCATGAGCCCCATTGGTCAAGCCAGTGGGTCATGTGATCATCAGAATACTATTAATAAATACTGTTTCCTTTCCCTCTCCTTTATCCTTCGCTTCATCCTGCTCCTCCTCTTGTTTGCATTTTTCCTTCAGTCTCTTCATCCTCCTCCTTTCCACTCTGTCCCTTAACTGTCTCTGAAAGGAGCTTTTTTTACTCCTCCTCCTCCTCCTCCTCTTCTTCCTCCTCCTCCTCCTCCTCTCCATCCTCGTTGGCGTAGATACCGGCTTCCCACTTCCGCGCCATGTCGCTTTTCCTCCTGGTGACACGAGTGGCCTCCAGAACCTGTCAGTTACAAAACAGCCCATCAGACGCACGCACAGTCAGAGCACTGTAGGAGTTAGCATGACACAGCTATTTACTGATACAATACATGCTTTTCCTCGCTCAAGGGATACAATGGCAACGACATCACAAAAAGAAAACACACCACAGTGGCTTTAACTGGACATGCAGTGTATGTCAAAAACTGAGGGAGCGCTTGGTTAAACCATCCTGCAGTAAAAGTTTCACAACTAAGGAGCCAACCAAATGAAGCGCACCTGCAGTATTTGACAATAAAAAATCATTTTACTCCATTTCAGGGGAAGTTTCATGCTACACTGGTTTTGTTCCATATTTTATGTTCTCCAACACCCGTTCCTCTCACACACTCATGCCTAAGACACACACAATCACACACACACCTTCACACACAGGACATACTGTATGTTTTAGTGAGCAGGAATCCAGGGTGAAGGTGAGGTGGATTGTGGGTCTAGAGGTACGTTACTACTGTGCTACTGTGATGTTGCTGATTCTCACATCACTGAATCCTACTCAAGCTTCAAGAAGAACAACACATCATTTCTATTAATAGGTGTATACTTCTTTGATGAAGCATGCTGGGTGTTTAAAAGAAAACCATTTGCTAGAAAAAAATCTAATTATTGGGGTTTATTATCCATTTGCACATTTATAAAATGCCCACCAAATTTCCGTTACCTTTATATTTTAAAGAACATAGTTATTGGTTTAATGTCATGAGCTATTAATCTTTTATTCTTAAATAGTGCACATCTTTAATCGTTTTTAACGAGTGCAGTACAGCAGATATAGTACAGTACTGTATATATATAGTACAGTACATAGAGTATTGATTATGTATACGAGGGCAAGAGCATAACATTGTGCATGGGAGTGGGGGGGAGTCAAAGGTCACACCAAATCCATGGACAAGCACATGCAGTACCATCACCACAGAGCAGAACAGTAAGGCAGTGAGACCTTAAGCAGACCTGGGATCAGATTTCAAAGGTTTCCTTTACAGAATCCACCAAGTCTATGGTTTTAAACAAAGATAATATCATCCTCGTCTGTATTTCCTGGACCGGTTTCACATCTGGGAGACCAACTGAAGTGACACAGTTTGTGTTTCTTACTGCTGACTCACCTACAATGTTGAGTACATTTAATGGAGAGTAAAAAAACAATTGCCAGTGGAAATCTCCACTCTGGTGACTCATCTGTATGTGGAAACTTTCTCTTATTTCATAGTTGAACTGGAAATAACCCTGATGACCTCAGGTGGACACGATTAAACAGTGATACAGGATATGTCTAATCTATAAAACCATCAGTTCTCTCCTCAGCCTTTACAGAAACAGTCTAAATATACAGAGGAATGTATTATATTACTGTTCCTCTGACCCAGGTCTGTCAAAAAGGCAGTTAACGGAGCGAACACGTGTGACAGGTACCTCATTGGTTACCTCGTTAGCCAGCAACAAACGGGCATACTGACCGACCAGCAGGAGAGAAGCAACAGTACACATAGTCAACACATGTGATGTCATTATGGAGAAACAACATGATCAACAGCATGCTGCATGTTCAAGATAAATTCAGTTAAATATCTTGAAAACTATGAATGAAATGTCATTTGTTGTGTGTGGTCTCTTAGTGGTTGTAGGCGTATCTTTTCTCGAATGTGAACGTTAAAGGGAGCGTATGATGCTCATGAATTATCAAAGTAAACATGGAGAAGTGAAACTGTTTCCATTTTCTGGATATGAAACTTTTTCCACCATGAAATTGTACTGTAGCCCTTATAGTTTCATCTGACAAAATGCAATGCTTCCGGCCTAAAGGGTCCTAACCCTGAACAATAACGCACTGGCAGATGTGGTCTGGCATTAGAAAAGAAGTATTCAGATACAGAAAATGTGAAAAGATGGAGTCAGGACAGAAATCCCCAAGCATCTGTGCCTTACTTTCACTTTCATTTCCTGCTTCAGGCTGGGAAATTCCCTTTGGTGTTGTACAGTATTTGCTCATACCCACAGGCCAAGATGAAAGCATTCAACTTTATTGACATTACTAAATTCCAGTGAACCAACAAGAGCTTAATGAAAAAAAATTCTACAGATTTATTTATTTAGTTATATTTTATTTATTTATAGTAATAAGTAGTAGATTTTCTTTAGCACCAACCAATAAACAAGAGGGTTATGCTAGCTCCATAAAATCCATAAAAAATGCACTTGTTGTCTTGAATGGAGTTTGTACACAATTTTCCTTTCTTTCTGCTAACTTAGGTTTATATACTTACACTGTTGTCCTCCAGTTTCTCCCTCCTCTTCACTTTGTGTGTTTCATAGTCTTCCATAAGCGTCTGCATGAAGTTTTTGGGCCGTGATCCTCCAGAGTCCTCGCTGCCGGCGTCAGACAGGGCTCCTTCTGAGGGCGAAGGAGAGACAGGCGGTGCAGGTCGAACCTTCTCGATCTTTCCTGCACATCACAGAAGAACACGTGGAGTTAGAGACATGTTTATTAAATTATCATGATCACACCAAGCAGCTGTTTCGTGTATTAAAACTGGTATGTACACAACAGAAAATAAATGTAAAAAATAAATAAAATAAAACCGTTCTTATTTAGATTTTTCAAACACAGGTACTAATACTATTCATGACATCTGCATTCCCCTTAGGTTTTTTTTGTTCTTGTGCCTGCTATTTCACTGATCACTGTTATAGCTTACTGACACACTTCAATTGAAAGGAACCCTTATTGACTTACACCTGTGCTTTATCCTGCAATGACAAGTAAAGTGTCCACAATGAAAAAAGTCTGTTATCCTCCTATCCACCAGTGAACCTTTTTGTAAATTGTTGTTGTTGTTTGTTTTGCTCATTTTAAGCATCCTGAGTGCCATGCTACCACATGAGAAACACGCTTACAGTGTTACAGTACAGACTAACCTGGTGCTGTCCTCGTTGTCAGTGTGAGTCTGGCTGGCAGGCTGTTGCTCTTCATCTTATCTGCTGGGGAAATGGTGGTTGGCCGCATCCCCGTCCTCACGTTTCCATGGCTGCTGCTGGAAGTGCTGCTGGGGCGGACGATAACGACAGGCTGTGTCTCCCTCTGTTTCTTCAGCTCCTCCTCCCTCTGCTGGGCTGCTCGTATCTCCTCCTCGATCATCGACAAAGTTCTCTGCTTCTTGGAGCGCAGGCGGAACGGCCCACTGGCTGGCTCGACCTCAGGGGCTCGTGCTGCTGCTGCTGTGCTACGCAGCTCGGCGGCCTCAGAGTATTTACTGAAGTAGCTGAACTCTGGTTTCTCGGGGCTTGGAGGAGAAGGGGGACGGTAGACGGGGGTTGGCCTGGAAACTGGAGCTGCTGCGGCAGGTGCCGGAGTTGGAGCTGGCGCCGGAGCAGGGGCTGAGGAGGCGAGGGCTCTGGCGTAAGACGATTGGATTTTGATCCTGGGGCCTCCGTCTTTGGGTCTCTGTGGTGGCGAGATGGGCTGAGAAGGAGGCGGAGAAGGTGTCTGGAGCTGCGGTTGCTGTGTTGGACTGGAGGGCTGCTGCTGCGGAGCCTGTTGTGATTCTGAGGGCTTCTCTTCGGAATAGACTCTTACCTCGGGTCGTCTCTCTGGCTGAGGGGACAGGTTGGATGGAGCAGGACTGGAGGACGCAGGTGATTGGAAACTGGGAGCTCCACTGGAAGACACGGGAGAGGACGAAACTGGCACTGGGCTACTTGTGGACGCTGAGGATGGAGACACTGGGGTACTCAGTTGTGAAGAATTCAAGTCAGATGGCTGCCACTCATCTCCATTCTGAGCTGCCAGGGCATTTTGGATGGCATTTTGGACAAGTACCCCTGCCTGGTACTCCAGATCGTCTTCTGTTGGACTGCCACTGGTCTGCCCATTGACTGGCGTGGTGGGCTGCGGGGTAGGCGGTGAAACTGGGGTGAGTGGCAACGGGGTAGGCGGAAGCGAAGCCCCGCTGTCAGAAATATTATCCAAGCTAAATGCAGTAGTGTCCTGAGAACGGACAGATAACTCATCCAATCCTGAGTCAGACTCCTCTGGGTGAAAACCTGGATGGAAGTGGCCCTTCCCTTCTTCCTCCTCACGCAGGATTGTCATTACAGCGCGTGCACAAGTAAATTCTCCTGCAATTCCTTCATCAGACCAGGTCACGTGACCCTCTCCCGTTTCCGCAACAATGTCACTGCTGCCCAGGCTGCCCCTGATTACGGATTTGGAAAATGGTTTGGCGGAGTATATGTGAGGAGCTACGTCCCTCTTGGTTGCTTCCCCTTGCAGAAACTGCTTCCTGGCAGACGAGAAGTTAATCTGCTCCTCCACAATGTCCACCTTCCTTTCTAGCTCTGGGTCAAAGGTCACCATGGTGGAAGGACCTGACACCTGGGGCTGCAAATAGAGATGGGAGGACAGAATGCGAAGGAGGGAGTTAGAACTAAAGAAAGGGGAGAACTAAAGGTGAGACGGAAAACAAACACTCATCTGCATTGCTTTGGAATGGTATGGTGCCAATGTGTGTGTGTGTGTGTGTGTGTGTGTTACCTGTGCGTAGGCATAAGTGTGATTCTGTTTCTGCTGTTTCCTCTCCTGGTATTTCTTGAGAGACTCAAGCTGCTCTGCGTCCAGCTGTTCTTCTAAAGGAACCTTGAATGAATGAACCCAAGAACCAATCAATCAGTTTTTCAGGACGTCACTGGAGTTAACGCTGAAAACAAAGATTTAATGGGAGGCTACCTCCTGAGGAGGATTCCACCAGCGCTGGGCGATCCCAGGGTTTTTCTTCACTGCCTGGTCTTTGATCAGCTCCTGGCGCTCACGCTCCAGCTCCTGAACCTGACAGGGGGAACAAACCACAAGAAAAAAAGGGAAAAGAATAAGAATATGCACAGAGAGCATTCTCAATAATTACCCATTAGCATTAGCTTTTCATCACATCTTAGATGATAATTAGACAGTAGAAAGGCTCCTGTTAGGTAATAGAGGGAATAAATGCTTTCCAGTGCCTCGCCAAGCAGTTGTATTGCCCTTGAGTCAGCCATGTTATACTCAACTACTCTGTCATAGGGTCATAAACAATGTGACTCAAGTGAAAATTATCCCTTTTTCCACAGAATTTATTTTTTTTATCAGTCAGTGACGTGACCACAGCTGACCTTTTGGGCCCGGCAGTCGCATCATGTGCTTGTGTTACGACACACTCTTAATTTCAAAATTCCCTTCCTTTAGGCGCTTTCTTGATTTCATGATTTGGTCTACATTACATTGTGCTAAGTAAAGAATATGAGGTATATGCTGCGATTTTGGTCATAGCTCATGTAACATTGGAGATGAAGAAAGTACAAACATAACCTAATACTGCCCCTTAAAAGATATTCTTTACACTGTAAGACTGACCTAACTATACATTTTCAGATCTGTGTAACATTTTACACAAGGATGGAGACATATTAATACTATCAATATGGAAATATGGATAAAAGGCAATAATCACTTTCTGACTTTAAAGGGACACATGTAAGGACTGATTTATGAAGAATACTATAATGTCTTGGCACTTATGAGCTTTCCTCAAATCTCTTACTAATCCACATTTTGGTCATCACAGACACTGAATCAGATTCACAACAGCAGTACCACTGTGTTGTTTTTGTTACAGTTGATTATTTAACATGCATTTACCTCCTCTGTGGGTCGTCTCCTTGTCACTCTGACCTGCTGCTCCTCTCCAGGGGTGAAGAGTTTTGCTGGCCGTCTCTCCTCTTGGAACGCTCTCAGCTCAAACTTTGCCCCGCTGCGCCCCGACTCGTCACCCTGCACATGCCCGTTGGTCCTCACAGCAGAGTCCTCCTGGTGGAGGAATGTGGTTTGTCTCTGCCCCTCCACAACGACTGACTGGTGACTGAAAGGAGAGGAGGCTGACACACAGACAGAAGGAGCGTTTCCGTCGATGCTGATTGATCTGGTGTGATCTGATGGAGAAGAGTTTCCGTTGGTGGGTGTTTCTGAGGCGGCGTCTAAAACCTGGTCCAGATAGCGGATCTCCTGTAGACACAGAAAATCGAATTGGTGTTGTGTACAACTATACTATGCAGATAAGTTGAAGCCATAAAAATATACATATAGCCATAATTATGTGTTTTATCACAATAAAGGAGCCACAGTGCATCTCTGGACACAAAAACAGACAACATAAGTGGATGAACAATTATTGTTCCAAAGAAAGTTTACTTAGCATGTTATTGTTGACCTGGATTCATGTTTTTTGGGACTGAAACAAAACTAAAATCAAAGGCAATTAATGTCAAAACAATGACACCACCGTCTTTTTTTCCCAGTATGCACTGTATAAATATTGGGCACATTTTTTTTTAATTGCTACACTATATATGGCATACAGCACAATTCTATTTTTAATACAGTAATGGAAGGCTATGGAAATGTTGCCAAATGAACTTAGATAGCTGTAGCAGGTAGCCTCTCTCTGTCTAGACAAATATTAATAGGCAGAATGCCGAAAAGAAAAGAGAATAAGGAAGAGAAAAAAGAAAAAAGAAAGAAAAGTGACTTAGGAAATCCACAGGACTGTGACAAAGACTGAACAATTTCTGCTCAGCTCAAAATAAATTGCTGCAAGTTGAATTTTTTGGTTCATACCTGCTCCACTCCAGAAAAAAATCAAACAAGAAACTGAACATCTGAGCCGGGTCTTGTTCAGAGAGCCTGCATACCTGCACCACCTCGCTGTCAGGAGTCTCTACTTTCACACCAACTGCATTGTGGGCTCGGCTGCTGGGGCTGCTAAGGCAGCCATGTTGGATCTGCTGGCTCTCCAGTTCCATGGTTGCAGGCCTGTCAGTGATAACGCTGACCGATTCCTGGAAACTGACACTCTTCAGGGCTCGCTCTCTTGGTATTGTGTCACTGACATCCTCGGCTGCCCGCCACGATTTCTGTGTCAACGAGCAGAGAAAAGACACAAGGTTCAGAGACACTGCACACTGTCTCGTGGTCACTTTAATAAAAAGTATGTTCGCTCAAAGGAGGAAATAAAAGATACTCTGTCAGACTCTCCCTACTCCCTAAAACACACACACACCTCATACAGACACACATAAATCTGCTGGTCTGCATTGCAGTAGTACACAGAGTTAAACCTCTGCAGCAGTATGTTCTAACTGGCTCCCACCACTAGGGGGCACCAATTCCCATACTGCTTCTTTAGGACACACCAGAAAGACAACAGTCTTCCATAGTACTGAAAACTATTATATCTTTGTTTAAAGGAATAGGTATGCTGAATTTTTTGGCAAATAATCTCTTGTCCTTCCTCCAGTTTCTTCTTTACTCTAGCTTACTCTATTAGACATGAGCCAAACTAGCAGGTGGGATGGTAAATAATTCTGTCTTGGATTACCAAAATATTATGCTCCTCTTCACAGCATGTGTCCATTAAACAAGTTTTGTTATCCTGGTCCTACTTGGCATCACATTCAAGACACTGTAACTTAACACTTCAATTTCATTGGCAAGGGAATTGTCAGCAAAGGTACTTCACGTTCTATAGCTTTAAAGATATTTCAAGATTAATAGCCTCACATTCACTCTGTTACACATTCACTCCTAGTATCTTCTCAGCCTCAGCTGTTCACAGAGCAGTTTCACTGATATGTTTTTGGATTAAGTACCTGGCTCAAGGCCACATCGTAAGTAGTTTTTATCAGAGGAGGGAATATGTCTTCCAAAATCGAAATTCCCTGCTGAGTTGGTCGTAGAGCCTGTAGAAACTGATCGTCTAACTTATAGCTGATGGACTAAGGTGTCAAAATGTCACAGAATGGCTTCCAATGATGTCACCTTACTGAAAAGCACTGCACACATTATGAACAAACACAGGTGACTTCAGTTCATAGAAAGAGGAACACTTTTTTCCAGTGATGTAGTCCTAATATTGACAAACAGTTAACACACTTCCTCAATACAATTATCATCACTGCAAAGTATGTTACACCCTTATGAAGTAATCATCACCAGTTAATGCAATACTGTGATTTTGTCTACTATTTTTCTCCATTTTGAGAGCCAAAGTCCTATAAAACACTAATCCATACTTCACTGCCACATTCATTTACTTACAGCATCAGTTATGGTAGACATTTCACTGACAGCGTGATGTATCCAGGGAATACATTTACAAACAGGGGTTGAATGTCCAGTTAAAGGACACATTGGTAGACATACTGGCATGCGGGGATCAAACCTGTGAACTTCTGTTTTTGTGAACCATCCATCCGACACATTCCAGACCCACCGTTAGCCAGAAGCTTCATTTACACACTCCTGTCTTTATTGAACTTTCTGTTTCTACACAGGCCTCTAACAAATACTCTATTGGCTTTCTGTTTTACTGCCTTGCACCCATTACACCTCTCTATTCCACGGATGTTTACCTCCACGAGGGGGTTGTTGACCCCGCCTTTGGAACATGTGAGAGTGTGTGCGTGGGGATTTAACGAGGATCTCTTCAGTCAATTGGAACACTGTTCAGTTAAAGCACACAGGGGCCGAGAGGAGAAAGTCTTTGCTGTTTACTCTCTCTTGCACTTTAAGACTCACACGCACTACCAGACTCCCATTTAACCTCTTTCTTTTCTCTCCCTTTTGATTTCTGGATCCCTGTCCGCTTCTCCGCTGACCCCCCCTCCCCTCTCTTTACCACTCCTTTTGCATCTTTTCCTTCCTTCCTTCCTTGCTTCCTCTGTCCTCTCTGGGATTGTTAGCGTTCACCAGTGGTCAGTGAAATCACATGGTGGATTATAACACCCTGCCTCTCCTCAAAAAGCCTTCTCTTTTCTATACTCAACTCAACACTCTCCTCTCTCCTGCTCACCCCTGCCTTCAGTCCTCTCTCCTCCTCCCTCCGATCCTCATGTCTCCTGTTTCTACTGAGAAAATTCTCTGAGGGCATTTTGGTGACCCATCTGACTCAGTCACATGTGAATTCCTCGCTTTATACTCTCTCTGTGTGATATAGAATAAACACATCCTCTTCAAGGACTACCTCCTAGAATTCCAATTCATAAAATTTATGACATTTTAATATAAAACGACATCCATTTTATTACTTCCTCAAGCTTGTTCTAAAAGTAAAACAGTTTGGACAGAAAACTAACTCATCAACCAAAATACCAATTAAAAGACAGAAAATAAGAACACATTAATGCAGACAGTCTGACTGACAGGTGACCTCTGGGAGTGTAACAACTCTGCAGATATGCTCGCAGAGTGTGGGGCTGTACTTAAGGACAGTAGTGAGCGAAGCTAAATGCTCATTTCAGCTTCATAACATGCTGCCAACGCTATAATGACGATGCCAAGCAAGTGTAATGTTTACCATGATTACCATCTTAGTTTGCCGTGTTAGCATGCTCACATTTGCTTACTAGCACAGAACGCAAAGTGCAGCTGAGGTTGATGGGAATGTGTTTTTTCTTTCATCTCCAGTTTGACTGTTTGTTTTCTTCTCACTCCCAGACTCTGCCAATCAACACGTCCAAAGATTTTTCACCCACTTAATGATATTAGCGACCACGTGAAGACCAGATGTCACTTCTGTGTAGTTCCATTTGACCTGTCTATATACTGTATGTGTATGTGCGTGCATGTGCAGGAATGTGTGTGTGTGTGTGTGTGTGTGTGTGTGGGAGTGTGTCCAGCAGGCAGGACAGTGCAGAGGGGGAGGATATCCTGTTACTGCCTCAGGAAAACAGTACTACAGTACAGGAATGTCTCATATGCAATGCTATTCGGCTGCAAAGACACACACAATATAAGGAGACTGTGTATGAGACTATTGTGCAGCAGTGCATGACGGTGGGAGTGTGTTCTTACAACTGTGTGTATTTGTATAGGAGGTGTGTATTCACATGTGTGTTGCTGACTCTCACTGAGGTGAGCTGACATTCCAGGCATAACTAGCTGTCCTCAAGGCTCCGACTTTAATACTTGTGATGAGGGACACTGTGTACACCCTCCCTGGCCAACTAAAGGAGCATAATGTGTGTGTGTGTGCGTGTGTGTGCATGTGTAAGTGAGGAAAGAAATCATGCAACGAAATGAGATTTTCTTCTGTAATGAAAAAGCTGAAATTCTTCATGATTTGTTTGAATGTCTGAAAGCATTCTGGTGCTTATTACCCTTGGACCAGCAATTAAGGCGTCATTACTGTGTAAATACACATGAATGTGTATGTAATACCTACATGAATGTGAAAGATGGTGTTAAAGGTCACACACGCACCACCAGGATGTGTCAGCTGTGTTTGTGTGTTGGGTTTTTCCAAAAAAGGATAGAAAGTTAAGGAAATACATTTTTACCAGTCTTAGGGTGAGGACGTGGCCTCAGAGTTCTGAATGAGTATAAATTAGTATTAGAGGATTATGGGATTTTTATAGGTAATCATAATCTAATTGTATGGTTAGATTTTGGGCAGAAAGTTTAAATTACAGTTGCGATTATGTTATTATTTTATGGCATGGATTTGAGCTTAAAGCTAAGATTAGTGTAAAGACTAGGTTGCTGAAACTTTGCCTAATGCAAGGATCTGAGTTTAGGATTAATATTATAATGCACTGTGTACTGTAATGTTTTTTACATTTTCTCTTTCATCTTAATAGCTTCAGGAGAATGAGAACAATTCCATGTTAATCTGGGAATACCAGTTACAGTTAGATACAGTATTGAACTGGGAGTGGTATGGTTAACATTATAAGGGGTGGGAATTATTGAATTTAGTGGAAAGCCATGATAAGTAAAGTAATAGTCATAAGTCCATCTGACTCAGCTAACTATTATGTCTTAGGTTCTGTCGAAATGATGTCTCATCCCCCCCCCCCC